GTAAAGCAAGATGCGTCCGACCACCGCTGTCGCCTCGTTCGACATGTTCAGCACTCGACATGACATCGCTCGGTTGGGTGACAGCATCGGCATGCACCGGCACAGGCGAAAACGCGAGGCCCTGGCTAACCGTTCGAACGTAAATGGAGAAGGACGAATTCAAGTTTTTCGTTTGCCGGCAACTGTTCCCATCGAGGATCCCTCGAGACGACTTGAATGATTAAAAGTGGCGCGTGCCGCTGCCGTTGCGAACGACTGTAATTGTGCAATTCGTTGCGAACACAACGATTTTTCCCACACATTACTCCTCGAAAGTTCCGCTGTCGTGAGCGAAGAGACGCATTCAGTCCCGTACACAGCTTACGTCGTGGACGAAGCAAAACCGCAGTCCAAGACATGGAGAATGGGCTGTGAGCATGACACGATATCTCGCCTTGTACCGAGTTGTGGCGAAACCTTCTTTCCTCAGACCCTGTGCCCATGAACGACATCTTCGACTGAGAAGGCGTCTAAAAAGTATATTTCCTAATGTCATAGTTTTCATTTCTCTTCACAGAAAGCATCAGCTTGTCTATCTTGGCAATAATAGTAGCATCTTTAGAATCGGTACACATTCGATAACATGAAAACGAGTTTCGACTAATACACGTGAGTAACAGCAAAACAATCATTTCAGTAAAATAACTTTATCGGTTGAGCTGCCGCTGATGCCACTGATCTGAGAATAGGAGAGAGATAACGACGGTGCACCACGAGATTTACAGCAAGGGATAAGCAGAATCGTATCGTATGTTATGTGTTTGGCTTAAATAATATATGACATTTCATCATCGTGTTAATTTAAATATTAATTTGCAAACTAAAATAATACCATGTGAATTGTTTACGGTCCTGGTTCCAATGACTGATTAGCCGAGGGAGTTTATTAACTGTCGCACTAGAAACCTCACTAAAGAAGCATTTTTCACAATAACCGAGAGAGCGAAAATTTTAGCTATAGATTTAACGGCAGGATTGTGTGCATGACAAGCCCAGTGAGAAATTCCACAGTCAGTAAACATGACTGTACCAGAGCAATGAACTGCCAACAGAAGCAAATATGAAAAATCGTCTTCTGAAGAAGGACATTCGATTTAAATTCCTATGGAGACAAAAATGAGTTCAAAGGCTAAATAGTCAGCTGTCCCATTCCACAAACACCACACACTACATACCCACAGGATCATCTGTTAAATTACTGATCATGCCAGTTTAAAGTGATTGATCTAAAAAATATCCGTATATTTGTATTTGTATGTATTCGAAATAAAAATGTTTGTTTGTAACTAAATTCCTCTTCAATTAGTCCATTGTTAACTTTCACCGGTTTTCGAGGGGAAACAAC